GTTTCTAGCATTCGTGCACAGTGAGTTACAGGCAATTAAAGGCAAGCAATGCCACTTGCGTTTCTTTTGGAAGCCACAGTATATTAATCTGAATAATCATTTGCAAGATAGAAATAATACTTCAAGCTCAGGTTCTACTTCAGGTTTTACTTTAAGAGAACGTGATAAGTTAAAATTTAAATTTTTTTAATTTAAAAGTATATTACAGCAACTTACTAAATTAATACTTTTTATAAAGAAAATCAAGTTTCAAGAGTATATGATTCTAATTCACTAAACACTTATCAATTCAAACTTACGTATGTTAAAGTGATCTTCTTACTACCAAATACTACAAATCATCTTTAATCTCTTAATGCCGGAATTATCGCAAGTTAAAAATCATTTTAAATGATATTATTGTCGTCATATATTACAACCTTTTTAAAAAAGATAAAAATATTAATAAAGAGAAAATTAATATTAAAGAAGCTATCAAATATTTGACAAATGCGTGACATAATGTAACTAAAGAAACAATTTGTAATTGTTGGAATAAAACTGAAATATTACCTTCTTCAACTGATGAAGATATAGATAATTCAACAGAGGTTTATCAAAAACAATAGACACAAAAATAGCAAGAATCAATCAAATAGTTGACGAATTTGATGACTTTTGTGCTTCTCCATTAAAAAATGCAATTAATGATTTCTTTCAAGATTTAAAAGAAGAAATTCCAACTGAAGATCTTTTAAGTGATGATGATATTATAAAATTAGTTCAAGAAGAGATACATAATGATGAAAATAATGATTCTAAAAAGAATTTCAAAGAACTGATACTAATATTTTTATTAGTGCAATTAAATCTTTACAAAATTGAATAACTTTTTTTGAACAACAAATAATAAATGAATTTGAAACAAAAGATTTTAGATATTTTTAAAAAATATCTTAATATAGTACAACAACTTGAATTGCAAATTAGAAAATAAGTTTTAATAACTGATTTTTTTTAGCAAATATCAAATGATAATTGTATAAACTTTTCAAATATTATAAATTTTATAATAAAATCAAATTTTATATTAACTCGTGAAAATCTTTTAAGTCTGAGATAAAATCTCTTAAACAACATCTTCAAAAAGCATTGTAAGATTTAAGATATAAAGGTAATACTAATATTGTTCAAAATATCCATATTTTAAGACTAGAAAATAAGATTAAACAACTTAAAACCTGTATTTATGAAATAACTGGCCTAAGTCAGAAAAAATTTTCAAATAATAAAAAATATTGGATATAGATCATATAATACAAATTATATTAAATAGATGATTTAAGATTTCAGTTTCTTTAGCAAAAATTCAGATACATTTGGATAATATAGAAGTTATTCTTCCAGAGTACAATTTGATAGAGTTGCTACTTGTTTGACTAATATGGAAGCTTTGCAATAGAAAGGAAGGAAACTTTAAAAAAAATTAAAATTTTACTTTATAAGCTAATTATAATTTTTTTAGTAAAATAAATTCAGATTTAATATTAACTCAAAAAAAAATTTTTTTAAAGTTTCCTCCCTTCTATTACAAAGCTCCTATATTATTACTTTTATTGATACAATTCATCAGTTTTAGTAAGCTGAAATAATAATACAATTGAATTTCACTATAACAAATTTCTATATTATGAATTTTTATTATAACGAATTATATGAGTGGTCTCAAATTTTATTATCGCACTTTTCAAAAATTTGTATTCAAATAAATTTTGATCAACATTATGCATATAAAATCAGGAAATTGTGATTTTAAAAATTAACCAATAAAATTAATGATTATGATCTTATATAAAATATATGAAATAAAAAAAATTTAAAAGTATCATCTGTAATAAAATAGGTGATATAGAAAATACCAAGCTAATATATAAACTTAGAACTTGTTTTGGGTGTCAGAAATATTTATATTGTGGTATTTATCTTGATCAAAATAAGTGTAAATATCCACATAAACAAAAACCTACTAAACTCAACTGTACTTCTCAAGTACAAAATTCATATACACGAAACTATAATCCAACTTAGCCAAAAGTGAAACTTGATTATATTCAACAATAGCTTACCAAATATAATTACCAAATAATACATGAAAAGGGCTTAGAAACATCATGGTGTTCTGCTTGCAATAGTGCATTTGGTAGACTTAAGTCTTCTAATATTAAAAAATTAACAAAAGCTAAAAATATTAAAAAAACTACTATTAGATTATCTAAAACAAGTGATCTTATAACTGATTTAGATGATTTATTATCACTCTTTACTAAAGATATTAGTGAAAATGAAGAGAAATCGGATAGTGAATTGGAATCTATAAAAAATAATGATGATGAACTTAAAGTTGATTATCGGTTGTTT